AAAATAATTAATATTTTTAATAAAATGTAAAAAAATTAATTATTGCGATATAGCTATAGACCTAACGTCTAACTAATATTTAAAAAAAAAATCAGCTAAAAATATTAACTGGATCAAAAGTTATTTAAGTTGTCAGTGAGTGGTGGGCCACCCTGTATATATATATATATTTTAATTCATAAGAACTTTTCTCTAGCTCAGCATGGCCTACAGACCCACGTAAAAGTCTGTCCACGAAGAAAAGCTCAAACGCTATCTTCGAGGGAAAACCGCCATCGAGATTCACTCAGCCCGTGATAATAAATCGGATGATAGAATCGTGTTAAAGATCACAAAAAAAGCTTCTTCGGATAACTGAAAAAACAAATCCCTAAGTTCTAATTGTTCAAATTACAAATAACATTTTGATGGCAGAAAATTAGTTTTAATCTTAACGAGTCTCATAAAAAAATGCAATTAATTCGGTAAAATATATTATTATTCTCACATTTTTTTTTTTTAACTAAATATTTGAGATATTATGATTTTTTATTTGTTACGCATATCGTTTATTACTTTTTTCAATAATTTTTTAAACTATTTATATAATATTTATTTATTTTCTATGCCATAAATTTGATTATTACTTAATTATTCGTTTGTTGGTCCAACTGTATTTAATAAATTTACACAAATATCAGTTTTGTTGTATATAATACTGGCGTATTCAGAAATTTGAAAGAATAGTATTTAAATTAGTAAATAAATCAGTATTTCCACTATTATTATTGACTAATGTATTTTAGTATTATCGCTTATCAAACGAAAAATAACATTTTTTTCACATCAAATTATATAATTGTATAGTTTCAAAAAATTATGTTTTATTAATAAAGTTAATTTGAAAAATTGCTGAAATAAATCGGATAAAAGTTTTTTTAGCTGTTGAGCTAGTCAGTCATTGTTAAGTAACACAATCTACGTGATCAATTTTTAATTATCCAGATTTGATTTATTTTGTTATAATCTGTTTTCTGTATAATTTAATATGTTTTATGTTTGGCTACAGTTACAAAGCCACTCCAAAAGGACCGAAATAAAAGTTTCGGTTAGCAATGAGCGTTAAACTTTTGAGCTTAAATAAATTATTAAATAATAAGATGTGTTGGAAGTATATGTTATTTGTGTTATATTACCGATGCTTAATGAATCACATTAAATGCATATCGAATAATTATAACAGGGTCATTTTTTTATTAGTTTACATAGTATGTACACTAGTAATAATAATAACAATGATATTATATATTTAAGAAAATCGCGTTAATATGTATGTCTAATAAGCATAGTACTTGTATTGTTAGAACACAGTTACATTACTGTACATACAGAATTATTGATTATAATATTAAGAATTTGATAATAATATTAGAAATTGTCTTAGTATTATTTCGTCAGTGTAGGATCAGGGGAACGTACCAACTAAAAAAAAAAAAAATTGCTGAATATTTTTAACCAATTATTCTTGTTGAATTTTGTTTTTAAACCACAAAGGTAATTTCACCTAAAATAAAACTTCTAAATCTAAGAGTACTAGCATTGTAACAATAATTTTTATAAATTTTGTTAGATGTAAGACTATCAATCTACGGATACTCAGCAAAATGTGTCGGGGTCGCATCGCATTTCCGGTGTTACCGCCGGATGGCGATCGCGGCGCTTCCTCTTCACGTCCGACAGGTCGCGCTATTCGCGGTGGCCGACGGGCGGTAAGAACCGGTCGCTCGGGGCTGGACAATCGAGACTGAATGAAATATTATATTCGTTTTCCAACTGTCACGTTGACCTTTTATGAGGAACAAAAGATAACTTTATTTAATTTACTTAATGTGTAATTAAGATTATTGTTGTAGTTGTCTAATAAAAACGCTATTGGTTTACTACTTATTATTATTATTATATTTACTACCTTGAACACATCAAATCTTGTAATTCACATATTTTTTTTTTAATTTATATTATGTAATATAAGCTTTAATTTAACGTATGTTTAAAGCTCCGTGTATTTCCGGAACTTTTTCAAAATTTAACTTTTCATAAAAAAGTAGCAATTATGAATATCCTCCAGTGGTCAGTATTTATATAAAAAAATGTTGGTATTATTTATTTAAAAAAAAATTATGTTAGTTGTAAGTAAAAAAAGTTTAAAAATATTGAAAATTACTAATTTTAAAAATCATAATTTTGTTGAGGGATTTCCCCTATTTATAGAAAACCGGTTGGGTTTATATAGAACCTAAAAAATGCCTAGCTCAAATCTTTTAGGTAACTCATACCCTTATAAGCCTTTAGATCTTGGCAAAGAGACTAACCCACTGGTTCCTCTTTAATCCAAACCAGTAAGTAAGTTTAATTATACTTAATTGTTGGCCCAAATTAATATTACAATTTATTGTAGTAATTGAAATTATAATCAATACACATAATCGTTTAAAATAATAATAATTCAATATTTTTGTCACCAATTTTAGTCATCATTAAAATTTCTACTGATTATAACACTATTATTTTTTCACTAGTAAAATTACAGTTACAATACAAGATTATACAACTTAATTAACTCAACTTAATTATGTATAGTTATAATATTAATATTACAACACAAATGTATTTCATTTTAACGACTACACATTATTTATTCGAAATAATTAATCATTTACAATTATTTTTCTATGCAGAACATGTAATCTGGCTGATATTTTTTTAATTCTCTTGAACTTTAATACCTTAATGTAATAATTTATTTATTTTCCATGTCACCTATAAACTTGCCGCAATAATCTTTTACACGAGTAATACAGTTATTTAAAATGTCGTATCACGCTAATTGATTGATAAAAAAAACGCTATGTATTTGATAATTTATTAAAATTTTATGAAAACTTTCATACTTGTACAAAAATGACATAATTTCTGATTTAAGAGGCCGATTACTCATAGAAAAAATGTAACCGCAAAAGTTTTATTCATTTAATTTTATATTATCTTAAATAATCTTCAATTTGAAATAATTTATAACGAAACGCGTATTTCGTTGCTTTGCAATAACAACAAATCTTTTATGATTTTTGACTTTAATGTTCAATAACTCTTTAAGTGCATATCTATTATGTGAGGCATGACACGGAATTGTTCCAAATGTCAACAACTTTTTCCTTTTTAAAGAAACAACAAAAAAAAAAGACGTTGAACACAGTGATGTAGCAGCACTAGCCGAGAGAAAAAATAAATTAAAACAAGAAAATGTTAAATAAAGAAATATATATGAAAATTTATTTATTTAAAATTAAATAGTAAAATAAAATTTAAAATGATACACTAGTGCAGTAGTAATGTATATAGATAGTACGTTGAAAGTACATAGCGAGAAAAAGGCGGGTGGCGTTAGTTCGCGTAGGACGTCAAAGACAAGATAGATCGTTCACCGCCGGCGCTCGGTGGTCGACTGCGCTCCAGTAGATGGACTTTGCACCCTAGCTAGATAGTGGGGTTACTCTAATCAGGCTGGGCTCGCGATGTAATGAGGCGGCTCATAGAAAAGACGAGGTGACCGTGTATCGCAAAATATACGGTACCGTGTCAGGCAGCCGCGCGTGTCATGTTCTTGAGCAGACCGTTCATTTTCCGCGCAAACCATTTTAGGAACACATTTATTTAGGACACGTCAAGTGATCCAGTTCGCTCACGCTGTCCCGTCGTCCCTACTGCTCGCGAGCAATTAAGTGTCTTTGCCGTGTGCCTAAATATCGACAAAATTTGGATCGTCGCACGGCATTATTTGGGTTGGCTCGCCCTGGAACTCTGTCGGTATCAATTTAACGCAGCTACCGCTCGAGCCAATGAACGAGGGTTTGTCGCGCATAATCGATACGCGGCTTTGGAAATCGACAAACTGGAGAGCTGTTCTTTTTACACTTTAATGTACGTTGTGTTGGCTATATTTTAGTGTAGGTTTTCTTGGAACATTTTCAAATATTGAAAATAAAATTTTTTATATGATTTTGATGCCCTTACAGTGTGTTTATTATAAGATTTTTGAAAAAATATTTCGTAATTATCCGTCCAGCTATCAAATGAATGTTTTGAAAGTTATTTCAAATTAAGTGAAAACTAAAAAAATCAACATTAGCTGTTTTATAATTTTTTCAATTATTATATTTTCTATAATTTTTTGGGATATTTCCTTTTATTATTGCGATTGAAGGAAACTTTTCAAAACTATGGTGTTGATAGTGTTAACTAGATACGTATTGTAATTTTTTGGCGCATTTGCCCCGGGCGGCAAAAATCTTAATAGGTATACAATTTTTAAAAATTAATTATTTTTATTTAATTTAAAATTTTTTCAAACATAACAATTTATTTTTATGAAACAAAAATATCTATTTCTAAAAAAAATATTATTTTATTATTTTCCAACTTAAAACCTGTACAAAGATATAAATGTAAAAGAAGATATAACAAAGCTGTATAACAACATAGACTACAGTTAGTAGTTAGATTATAGTATTGATTATACATAGTAATATTTATAATCAACAGCACTATAAATAAAGTAGGCGGCAATTTATTTAATTCATGTTTCTATCTAATTTTAACAAAGTATTGATATTTTCTCCCTTAAACTGGTTTTGTGGATGTCGTCAGCCGTTGATAGTCGATTATTATTGGAATACTAAGAAAGTTAAAACACAATAATTTGTCTCATTTTTCACAAAATTATTATCTAATAATGTCACACTAATAATGTGTTCTGTACAGACAACTCATTATGTATAGTACTCGACTACAAGTGACCGACTTAACACTTGTTGAGGTGTTTTTTTTTATTTGTATATTTTATTATTTATTAACGTATTAAAATGAGTGATGGCAGAAAACGTTTAAGTGGAAGTGCTTATAAAAAAGTTGCTAAATTAAAATTAGAAAAAGAACAAAAAGTCATTTCTCAAACCGCAAAATTAATTTCATTTTTTGGTAATCAACGTGACACGGTACCGTATATATTGCGATACGTGAAATACACGGTCACCTCGTCTTTTCCATCAGGCGGCTGATTACATCGCGAGCGCAGCCTGATTAGAGTACCCCCGCTATCTAGTCAGGGTGCAAAGTCGATCTACTGGAGCGCAGTCGACCACCGAGCGCCGGCGTTGAACGCTCTATCTTGTTTTTGACGTCCTACGTGAATTTTCTCTGTACGCTGTCGTCACGTGTTGTACATTAAAAAGTTACTTTTATGCATCCAAATTAAAAACCTCAAGTTGTATTATTTCTTCATTTAAATCGTAATATATATATATAAATATATTTATTGGATTATTTAAATTTCTCTTGTTTTCTATTGCTCTCGGCCAGTGCCATTGTAGTGATACTTTAGACATTTTTGTGCGTATTTGTGTTACATCTATTATATTTAAGAAACAAACTTATATTGACACTCGAATTATCCGTGTCAAGGTGCAGACGAAGTGCAAGACACAAGTACTCTGNACGACCATCAATCTCCAATTCGCCAAGTGAAATAGAGACTACAGCTGAACAGATTTCAAATGAGTCAAGTGATAAAAAGTAATTTAAAAATCATATGTTAACTTTTGTACGTTATTTCAGTTTTATATAAATGAAAAATTTTATATTTTGTTTAGTGAGCCTAATCTTCAGAGTCCTCTTGAAGCCCTAGCAAATGAAAATCAAATAATTGAAAATTCGGAAAAACAATTAATAAATACGTCTTCTATTACACCAAGGTAAGGCGTACAAATAAAAAAAAATGCTTTAAGCATATGTTATCTCATCTGCGTTAATTCAGTTTTTTATAAATAAACAATTTTATAATTTTTTAGTAAACATCCTCTACATAGTACTTTTGAAACCATGGCAAATGAAAATCAATTAATTGAATATTCGGAATTATTCAATACGTCTTCTATTATTCCAAGGTAAGGCGTTCAAATCAAATAGAATACTTTAAGCTCAATCTATGCAGTCTAAAATATGTTTAACATTTTATATTCACATTTATTTTTTTCTTCTATCTAGATATATTATTTTTGATATATTAATAAAAAATTATTATATAACGATCTCAGTATATGAATATTAAGATGACCCAAAATATTATCGTTGTTTCATTTTTCAACAGCATCTTGGCTTAAAGACCTCCTCGTGCCTATTTATTAAGGGCCAAAATATAGGCAATTTTTGGCTTTTTTTTTTATTAAACTATTGGCCACTTGGCAAGGCGTGAGAGTTTTTCCCGTAAAGCATGTTTTTGGGCTAAAAAACAAGTCGCGAGCAGACCCCTTAATATCTTTAGTCAGTTAAAAAATAAGTTCCTCAAATTTTTTTTGAAGAAAAATATTTTTTAGTGTTTGCTAGTCGAAAATTTGTGTAACTCGGTAGTAGAGTTCAAAATGCCTAAACATTTCGGAAATAAATGGAAAAATTTTGAACAAAAAATAGTTTTTTTCTGAGGTATCGAAAAAATGGAGCAACTCGAACTTTTTTAATAATTCATTAAAAAAAAAATACATTTTTTAGGTCTAATGTAATAAGCAGGAAGTTTTATTTCCGTATAAATCTTACATTTTGTTAGAATAATATGTGAAATACATTTAAAATAAATCGACTTTTTTTTAATTGATGAGATCATAAAGATTCAATAAATAATGTTACAATACAATNTATAAAGATTCAATAAATTATGTTACAATACAATAATGAGATTCCAAATAGAATGAAATCATTTTTGACATTACCATCAAGCTAGATATACAACAATGGTGTTGTTTATCTTCCTTGATGATTATAACAAAATGAAAAAAAGATACATTATGTCATGTTTTCTAGTAGTTTTAGTAAAAAAAAAAATATTAACCCAAATGCGTGAGGACTAAATCGAAAATAATTTTAACTTTACTAAGTCCTTATTTCAAAAAATATTTTAAGAATTATAATAAATTTTAAAATTACAAAAAAATCATTATAAAATCAATACATTTCTCGTTCCGTTTGGAATATAAAATAAAAATAGCTTAAATGAAGGTAGTTGGTAGTTGTACTAACACGTTCGCTGAGGATCTATTTTATATACNGGTAGGTAGTTTGTAGTTGTACTAACACGTTCGCTGAGGATCTATTTTATATACACATTGGTACAGGCCTACCCAGTAAAAATATTTTAGCTACGCGCCTGGTGCTGACCAGAATAATGTCTTTTTTTCTATGACACCGATTGGTGACATCCAATAATTTTTTAATAAGACTTGACTGTTTGATGCCGTTCAATGTCATGTTAAAAATTCTTAATTTAAATACTTTTTACTATATAATAATTTTAATTTTAAATTAATGTTTTGTAAAACTTGACAACTTTAAAAAAAAAAGGCTCATTAAACTATTAATAATGTTACTTATAAATAATTAAGTTTACATTTATTTCTAAATAATGCATCATCGAAATTTAGAATGATAATTTTTGAAGCATGGTTGTTAACAAAGACTATTTATTAAGTTTTCATTTTCATTTTGTTTTAGTTCTGATCCAGCTCTTTGGTCTATTAATGAAGATTTAACTAATTATGTATGCTTTCATGGTTTTACTCAAGATTTATCAATAATTAATTTTTCTAAATCTAAGAGAAGCTTTTTTAGAACGGTAAAGGGAATAAAAAAAACAATCAACAAGTCTTGTAAAATTAGTTATTTTAAAGGAACTTTAAAAATTGGAGAGAATTTTTGCAAAGCATTTTTAGCGTATTCTAAGACTAAAGGAGTTCTCTTTTGCTATCCATGTCTTTTATTTTCTTGTAAATCTTCATTTGGTTCGACTGGATTTTCTCTTTGGAAAAAAGCAGATGAAAAAATACAAGAACATTTAAATTCATCAACTCATCGGTCTAATATTTTGAAAATGAAACTACGCGGGGTGACTCTTAATCGCATTGATAGTGGACTTGCTAATCAGGTCGAGAGAGAACGACTTTATTGGATTCAAATTTTGAAAAGAGTCGTGGAAGTAGTAATAAAGTTAGCATCAAGAGGATTAGCACTTCAAGGGGATACATTAAAATTAGGTTTCAAAAACAATGGCAACTTTTTAATGGCTATTGATTTATTATCTGAATTTGACCCTTTTATGGCTGAACATCTCAAACAGTATGGAAATTCTGGCAAAGGTTTTACATCTTATTTATCTTGTAATATATATGAATGTGGGAAAAAGCAAACAAGCAATTACAGGAACAGAGCGAAGACGCAATACTTTATTTAATTTATATATATATATATATATATATAAATTAATACACAAAAAACTCTATTAAATGTTAACAAGCAAAAATAACACATATATTTAATTACGCACGAAAACTCTTTATAAAATATTCACACAACACAGAAATAAAATATAAAACAGAATACACTTATAAAACTAAAGAATATACATAGAGACACGTCTTAGCCGACTCACGACTTGATTTAATCTCCCTCTATATACTTGATACCACTATCTATCTCCAGACCATGGAAGTGGTGCCATCTAGATACCAATGGTACCCACATGTCGACCCTCTTCTTGATCAGTCGTCTAGACTGATTGACAGTTTTCCATCTCTTCTTCATCATCTGTATCTATTTGGCTGTATCCATGGCTTCATATAGTCAACACCAGATGATGTTCTAATGGGACCTTCAGACTCACCAATTTTGACAATTTCATATCTGTCTGGTCCTCTACGTTTGGTTATTTGGTATGGACCCAAAAATTTTTTATGAATTTTAGAAAGTGGCTTGAATTGTGTCCTCAAAATAGCAACCAAATCACCTAGGTGATACTTATGTGCTTCCTTTCTCTTTTTATTAAAAGTTTTACGCTGTTCTTCTTGAACTTTAAAAATTTGTTCTTTTGCTTCCTTACGCAATTCATCTCTCTCTTCCACAAAAGCATTTGTATATTCTTCCTCAATTATTTTAGTCAACTCAAAATATTGAGGATGTCTCATCTCAACACCAAATGTCAACTTGAATGGTGTCATACCGATGCTTCTCTGAAAGGAACTGTTTAGTGCAATTTGTACGTGAGCAACATTCTTGTACCAATGTTCGGGCTGATCTAAACTTAATTTGGTAATGACTGGAATAATAATTGCATTTAATCTTTCTATTTGCCCGTTACTTCTTGGTATTCCTGTAGTAATTGTTACTTGTTGGATGTTTTCTTTTCTACAGTAATCAGAAAATGCTTGTGAAATAAAAGCTCCTCCATTATCTGACACAATTCTTTCTGGATTCCCAAAAGTAGTAGACAAAGTTTTCATTTTATCAATGGCTTCCTTACATGTAGTAGTCTTGGTAGGAAATAACCAACNACTACATGTACTACATACTACTACAGTCTTGGTAGGAAATAACCAACAAAATTTGCTAAAACCATCAATCACTGCAAATATATATTTGTATCCTTTAGCTGTAGCAGCTAATGGTCCCAAATGATCTATATGATAGGTAACTAATGGAAAATCACCTTTATTAATACTATTCAAGTAACCTTCCTGCTTACCACTTTTTCGACTTGNGCCTTCCTGCTTACCACCTTTTTGACTTGCCAATATACACGGAATACAATTTCTTACAATACTCTCAATTTTTGTTTTCATATTTGACATGGAATATTCTTTCTTCAATAGTTCTTCAACTTTTTTACATCCAAAATGTCCTATTTCATGTGCTTTTCTGNAATTGTATACTATGCATCTTATCTTTAAATAATAATCATGTCTTTTGCATAGATCTAGGAACAACAATCAATTTTTGGTCATCTTTCATCTCGTACAGTAGATCATGTTCAATTAAATAGTTTTGATGAGTCGAAACAGCTAGAACTTCCATCAATGCGCTAATCTCCGAATCCATCTTTTGGGCTCTTCGTAATTTAATCAAAAATTCATTTTCAATCGCTAAGCATACAGGATATCGACTAAGAGCATCAACATGGGGTAAACGAGATCCACTTCGGTGTTCAACTGTATAACTAAATTCTTCAAGCAGTAAAGCCCATCTTGCAACTCTAGTCGCCAAATCCTTATTTTTCATTGTCATTGTAAATGCAGCACAGTCAGTTACAATCTTAAACTGTATACCCAAGAGATAAACTCTAAACTTTTTCAATGCTTCAATAATAGCAAGTACCTCTAGNACTCTAAACTTTTTCAATACTTCAATAATAGCAAGTACCTCTAGTTCATAGCTATGATATCTTTTTTGGGCATCACTGGTCTTTCTGCTAGAATAGTATACTGGATGAAAATTACCGTCATAAGCATCCTTTTGTAACAATATAGCCCCAAAACCATTAGCACTTGCGTCGGTATGTAGTTCCGTTTCAGCATGAGGATTATATATATGTAACACTGGATTATCCACCAGTTTTCTTTTCAGCATATTTATAGCATCTTGTTCTTCTTTTCCAAATTTAAACTTAGCTCCATTATGTAATAGATCAGNTTTTTCCAAATTTCAACTTAGCTCCATTATGTAATAGATCAGTCAAAGGTTTAGCAATCAATGAATAGTCCTTTATAAATTTTCTAAAGTATCCAGTAAGACCCAGAAAACTTTGCACTGCTTTTGTTGACTTAGGTAAAGGAAAATTTATAACTGCAGCAGTCTTCAANAAAAATTTATAACTGCAGCAGTCTTTAATGTTGAAGGTCTTATAGTATTTTTACAAATTCGATATCCTAGATATTCAATTTCTGTATGTAAAAACTGACACTTACTCCATTTAATGTGTAGTCCATATTCAGAAGCAGTTTGCAATATTTGTTTTAAAAGTTCAATACTTTCTTCATAACTACTAGCTAATATCACTAAATCATCCATATATGTTAATAAACATCTCTTTTGAATGTAATCTTTGAAAACAAAGTTAATATATCTTTGAAAAATAGGAGGTGACACACACAGTCCAAAAGGGGTTCGCAGAAATTCATATTGCCCACTAGGTGTGACAAAAGAGGTATACTTAATGCTATCTTTATGAACTGGAACATGGAAAAATCCATTTCTCAAGTCAAGAGTTGTATAGACAGAAGCTCCTTGTAATTTATCTATTTGGTCATCTATTAATGGCAAAGGGTATCTATCTTTGATTATCTTCCTATTTAACATCCTGTAATCTACACAAAGACGTAGAGAGTTATCTTTCTTCCTGACCAAAACTATTGGACTAGNCTGACCAAAAATATTGGACTAGCATAGTCAGAACAACTAGGTCTAATAATGTCTTCTTGTAACCATTCCTCTATTTGCTTGTCAACTTCACATGTTTCCGCTGGAGATAGGCGCCGTGGTCTTTGATATACAGGTTTTTCATCCATTAGTAAAATAAGTGTTTCAATCGGTGCATGTTTTACTTTATTTGGTTCATAATATTTCACTACATTATTAATTTCCTCTGTATAAGTTGATGCACCTATGTTGAGCTCATTACAAGGTATATTAATAGACATTATTTGATTTTCTTCTTCTTCAAATTTAGTTATTCTCACACACTTAGGATTTATGTGCAGTTCAGCACTTGTTTGAAATATAACTTTTCCTACTAACAGGTCACATGTAATGGCTTCATCAGGAACAACATAAATATCNAACATGTAATGGCTTTATCAGGGACAACATAAATATCAATAGTATATGATGATCCATCAACACTTAATTTGCAAGTAAATACACCTTCTGTGTAGAACTTAACTCCTCCTGGTCCTCCTAGTAAAGTTTTATCTTTACGAATTGTGATTTCATCTAACTTCAACATAAATGACCTTCGACAGAGATTCACATCACTACCAGTATCAACTAAAGCATTAGTTTCTACACCTTGTATATCAACTAATTTACTTANTTTACACCTTGAATATCAACTAATTTACTTATACGATTAATAGGATATATGACATCATTAACTTGATTCACTTGTATTTTAACATTTTCATCTCTTTGACTTCTATCAGTATTTGGTCGACTAGTTGATGGACGATAAGAACATGATGATGCTTTATGACCAAATTCCTGGCATAAAAAACACTTAAATCCTTTACTAGCATCAGGACAAGAACTAGAACGGTGACCCTTTGCACCACAGTTGTAGCAACGATTAATGTTTGCTGATTGACCTTCATGTTTATATGATTTAAATGAAGCATTAGGCAATTCATTCAAATATTTTTTTTCGCTGAAGTTTATGTTTGACTTTGTATTTGCCCTTACGTTTAACTTCATCTTCTCATACAGTTCAAGTTTCAATTTTAGCTCATCAATGGATGTAGCGCCATACAGTATCATCTTGTTAACTTCCAAGTCTCTTATACCAGCTATAATATAATCAATAAGAGAATCTTCTTCAATATTGCCTAGCTGAGCAATCTGTTTCATCTTACTGCTGATACGATTCATCAATTTTCTTAAATCGCTCAGATAGTGAACGATGAATAGCAGCTGTGTTCATACGACTTTTAAACTCATTCTTCAGTTTATCTTTTAAAATTGTCCAAGTAGTAATTCCTCTTTCCGATTGAATATATAATTAAGCCGTTCCCATTAATAAACGTTTACCATAAATTAACTTCTCAAGATCGGACCAACGTAGTAAACTAGCCATTTCTTCAATTTCTTCAATCCATCGATTAACTGGATAAGCATCATCACCAGAAAACTTTGACAGTGATTCTTCAACATCTCTAAAGCTTAAATGAGATTTGCTATGCTCAAGTCTCAAAGCAAATACTTCCTCTCGAAGTCTAGAAACTTCGTCCATAATTTCATTAAAATTTTTATTTTTAGGCATCCTGAACTGTTATATAATCAAAAAGTTTAATCAAATTCAAATTGATGTTAGAAACCGATTAACAATAACTAGATCTCGTGAAAACGAACAAAGAAAAATTGCGCGTTTACTCAACCAAAATGGAGTCGTATACTAATACAATTACAAAAACGTTTTATATANAGGAGTTGTATACTATTACAGTTACAAAAACGTTTTATATATTTTCGTCACTAACAACACTTATATAATACACGACAAATAGTTTGAATTTTTCCGGATGTTGAGTAGTCAAGATATCTTCTCCAATCTCTATTCCCGTTTGTTGACCGATGATTATCCCGGACAGGCCCCCAAAAAATGTGGGAAAATGCAAACAGGCAATTACAGGAACAGAGCGAAGACGCAATACTTTATTTAATTTATATATATATATATATATATAAATTAATACACAAAAAACTCTATTAAATGTTAACAAGCAAAAATAACACATATATTTAATTACGCACGAATACTCTATATAAAATATTCACACAACACAGAAATAAAATATAAAACAGAATACACTTATAAACTAAAGAATATACATAGAGACACGTTTAAGCCGACTCACGACTTGACTTAATCTCCCTCTATGTACTTGATACCACTATCTATCTCCAGACCCTGGAAGTGGTGCCACCTAGATACCAATAGTACCCACATGAATAGATAATAAAAATTATGGTTGAAAAAGTTTTGTCAACAATTATTCAAGAAATAAATGATGCTCATTATTTTTCAATTAGTGTTGATTCAACTCCTGACATATCACACATCGATCAATTATCATTATGTATTCGTTATGTTAATAGTGATGGAAGTCCTGTTGAGCATTTTATTTGTTTTTTAGATCATATTGGACATAAAGCAGAATATTGCAAACCTTAGAGGTCAATCATATGATAATGCCAGTAATATAGCAGGTGCATATTCTGGACTGCAAACAAGAATAAAAGCAGTAAATCCCATGGCAAAATTTGTTCCATGTGCAGCACACTCTTTAAACTTGGTCGGTATGAACTCTGTGAGCTGTTGTATTGAAGTACTCAAATTTTTTAATTTACTTCAAATTATATATAATTTCTTTTCTGCTTCAACACACCGGTTGGAAATTCTTAAATCCACTGTGAAATCTCTTTCAGGTACCAGTTGGTCAGCTAGAGAAGATGCTTGTAAATCTTTAAATGAAAATTGGAGTTCAATTATGAATGCCTTAAATCTAATTGAATGCGATGAAAATGAAAAGCCTAATACTCGGTTTGAGACTAAAGGCATAAAAAAAAAAACTAGACACTTTAGAAATAGGATTTTTATCAATATTTTGGGGTAATATTTTACAGAGGTTTAATGCTGTTAGTAAAAAGCTGCAGTGTATGAATGTTGATTTAGGTGTTGTGGTAGAACTTTATAACTCATTAATTACTTATGTAACAGATTTTAGATCTGACGAGGCTTACGAACACTTAAAATCTCAAGCAATTGAAAAAATTAATGTAAAACAATTCAAAAATGATCAAAAACGTTTAAAAAAGAGAAAAACATGCCTTGATGAAGGATCAGCTGAAGATGTTACCTTTACAAAATCAGAATCTTTTAAAGTTGACACTTATTTTGTCATGTTAGACAAAATTAAAGCTGAACTTGAAAAAAGAAAAGAATCATATGATCTTCTTNATGTTAGACAAAATTAAAGCTGAACTTGAAAAAAGAAAAGAATCAAATGATCTTCTTTTTGATAACTATAAATTTTTTTTGGAGTTAACAAATATTTCAGTACCTGAAATATTTCAAAATGCTACGAAACTTCAAAAAGAATTTGATATTGATTTAGAACCTTCATTTGTGAATGAATATTTACATTTGAGAGGACATTTAAAAAGCCTTTCTGATGGTATTCCGAAAACGATTCAAGAGATTTGTATCTTTATCAGACAGAACAACTTACAAAGCATTTATCCTTATATTGATATAGCTTTGAGAATGTTGCTATGTACTCCCATAAGCAATTGTTCAACGGAGAGTTCTTTTTCAACTTTAAAAATTATTAAATCGTATCTAAGATCTAGTACGTATGAGGATCGACTTAATAATTTAGCTTTATTGTCAATTGAAGGTGAATTGACATCTAAAATAAATTATGATGAGGTAATTGAAAAATTTTCGTGTATTAAGAGTAGAAAAAAATTATAATTGTTTTTCTTGCTTATTGATTAACTGTTGTTATGTTAATAAATGATATTTATAAATAATTGTTCTATTGTTAATATTCCTAACTTTTGAAAAAAATTAAAAAAAAAATAATTCAATTATAAATTATCAAATGGCTCATTTTTTACTCTTAAAAAAAAAATGTATGATTTAAAATAATAGTAAGGGCGTCAGTGGCACATTTATGGGGGGTCTATGGGGATTGTACCCCCCACCCATGGTCCAATTCATGTCTAATGTAAACAAGGGAAATTGCTTTGAAGACTTTTTTTTTTTTGCTCAACTAAAAAACCCAAACCAACACTTTTTGGGGGGCGGCAAAATTAAGTGCACCGAGCGGCAAACTTCTTAAATGCGGCCCTGGTACAGTTCTATAATTATATTCATGTTAAATTGATAATTGTATACTATGCATCTTATCTTTAAATAATAATCATGTCATGTTCAATTTGATACAATATACTGAAAATCACCAAAAGCATTGACGATAACATCGGGGTTAATTAAAAACAATATAAAATGGTTTAGTTCTGTTTACACATCAGAGAGCAAACAAGCCAGCGAGCGGCTCTTCTCCACTTTTGAAGTTCTGAATTCAATATAGAATTCAGAATTTTTTTATTTTTCTTAACTATTTACGACCCCGTGTGTTATTTTTTATTTATAATTATTTTGTGTCAAGATTTCATTTATTTATATAGAAAGAGACATTATGGTGAATGGTTACAAATATCATAGAAAAATCGAATTAATTGGCCACCAGAGATAAAATTTGCAACTTTTTATGGCTCACTGAAAAATATAAAACGAAGGTCGCCAACCCACTGGGCGAGACTATATACGGTTGGACCACGGTAGGATTTAAAAAAATAAAATATTGCACATTAAAGACAATTTAATATAAAAAAAAAAAAAAATCGGTAGCACAGTGGGGTCGAGTTACAGTATGGACGAGGCATAAGATGGGACAAGTATAGATGATATCTGACAGTGATTAAAATCACTATCATAAGAAACGCTTCGATGCAAATCTATAGATAGTGTTTTATTTAGAAAAATTGGTGGATTATTCCAAAAGCAACATCAACTCTTAATCCTGGACACGCCACTGGATTTTAATATGCTAAAATCTATCGTCAACCACTAGGTGAAGTTAAAAATAAAAATTTTTATTTATAAAAAAAATAACGTTTATACTTCTGGCTGAAAGTAAAATAATAAAATATAATGGCCGTAAATAAAATAATAATGTGTGCTAGCTGAAAATAAAATCGTATATGTAAAATCTATTATTTTAACTAAAGTGTTGCTAAGTGACTGGAATTTTTTTTCCTATATATACGGTAAACATTCAATTAGAGTTTACGGTCTGCCGTTACTTGTGAACTGTCAATTTGTCGTCGTGAATTCATTTTGTATTTTATGAAAATCAAGCTATTCAACAAGGTCATTATGGAATCGCAAAATAAGAAAATCGCAGAAGTAACCAAGCAGATCGAAGGAGGCCGGGACAAGTTGATCGAACTCCTCATTAAGACCGACAAAATTTATCGAGTGGTGATCAAACTAATTAATGAGGATTTGAGAGAAATGGAATCAAGCAATCCATCCCAGCCTCCCTGTACCACCTCCGTCGTGTTGCGAGACTGTTTGAAAGATCAAAGGATGAACATTTTCCGCGTTATGGACATGTACCTTGACAATTATGATGCCGAAGAAACACAAACTATGCGGAATATTAGATCAGTGTGGGAATTTTCGCATACCTTGATCCAATTGGTCATTCCGCAAATTATATCTTCCTCGTCTGAGCCCAGCATTTTAAACAATCGCGGACTATTTATATTCAGCAGGCTTCGGGATATAGCTGATCAGATGGAATCTGTAGCAGGTAGAAACAGGATGTTGATGTTTAAAATAAATTTAATTCGACGTTATACTAGCGGATCGTTATATCCAAGTTGCCCCTCGTCACGCCGCAATCGCTCCTTACGACGGAGTTTTCAGTAAGTCGATGCTTAAATATTTTCAAAATCTGTAACATTTGTTTCTCACTCATTTGTGGTAGATTATTTTAAACACTTAAGTATTTTTTTATTTATTACACATTTATACGTTTCGTTTCATGAACACTTGTTCAATTTTTATTGTTGTTTGTTGTTAACTTTTACCTGTTTATTTTGTTAATTTTTTATTTAATTTTAAAATTTTGTTTATTTATTTTTTTCTCATACAATAAGATAAATTTCATTTGTAAATTAACAATGTCAATTGTTTTTTTTAATAAATAAAACTGTATTCTATACTTAAAAAATATTTGTTAATTATTTTATTAATAACATCTTCAACATATATGAAACTTAGTTATAAATATTAGAACGAGATTCTGGAGGAACAACTACTTCCAGCGGCATGTCCAGCGAGTAAGTCGAGTAGACCCGACTTACCTAAATCATGTTTTCAGATCCATGACTGGACTCCATAAGATGTTTTATGATTGAAA